TAAATTATGTGGTCCACGTATTCTACTTTTAAATAAGCCTTATGCACGTGTTTCGTTCCCTTGTTTCATTTAGGGTCACGTGATCCACCCAAAATGCCTAATGGCTGCCAACTCATCAATATGTTGGTGGTTTACTGTTAACGTCTAACATTGTTGAAAGTTTTTCCTCAAGATTAATTAACATAGTTTTATGGGATTTCCCAGAAAATGCGAGGTATAATATTCGTCCTCGCGACGCTGCTCGCGTACGTACATGGTATAAGATTTTATCTTGAACCAAACTCGCTGAAGTGTTTGAAAGAGGAGGTTCAACCAAACGTCTTGGTTGCTGGAGAATACGAAGTCTCTGTTACACCAGGTGTCAAAACTGAGTACATTGTAAGTTCTAATGACTATCTCTGACACATCTGTTTAAATATAATACTCTATCATATGTTGAGGTTATATTTGTTTAACCTCTTCTCACATATGCTATCTTGTAGTTCTTGATTCTTTAAAATAAAGTTTACGTTTGTGTGTCAAATAACATTATCAAGTTACTGCTCATTTAGTATTGTATCTTAAAAATGTTTACCTTTGACAATTTTTTGAAACTTAATAGATAAGGGATACTAAAGGAGATATTCTTTCAAGAAAGGATGACATACCTCATGGGAAAAAACTGAAATTCTCCTTTGTTACTGAGACCTATGATACCTTTGAGATTTGCTTTATGGCTAATGCCATGCAATCATCCTTTTCAGGCAGTACATATAAAGTATTTTTTATCAAAAATATTCTTGAGTTTTTTCTTCATTTTTTAACTGTTTTAAACAATTTGTTCCAGACACCAAACAGGTTAAACAGGAAATTTATTTAATCACAAAGCGTGGAATTGAAGCTAAGAATTACGAAGTAGTAAGTTATTTGATTGATCTGAACAATTTTATGTTTCAAATTTGTCAACAAACTTTATTTTTAAATATTACTTCATTACTCAATTATTTTCACTTAGCAAGTCTCTTTTATTGTTGACAGAATAAATGTCTGACAGGAATTGACAATCCTTAATGTTATGACAGAATTTTTTTTTTATACTTCAAAGTGCATTTACAATATGTTTTTTAAATTGTCAATACCTGATCAATTTACTAAAGGTTCCAGGATAAATTCACAATATTTCATCTCTTTTCTTTGTTTTATATGTGGCTTGTATGGGCACACAGTTGGTAATGTAGCAAGATTGGTTTTATTAGTTATCACCAGTATGGCTTTTAACAGCATGGATTTTAGCATGAATTAGTTAACCAGGGTATTTGAAAAGTTCTCAAAAAACAATAAAAATAAAATACTACTTTACTAAAAAATTATATCATGAGAATAAGTACATGAACTTTGATAATACCCAGCATTTTAATTTTATATGAACAGTAGAATGTTATTTGTATTTTCATACATCTTATCAATTATAATAGATGTGTTTTTATGTAAAAATGTTGAAAGAATTGAAATTACTAAGCTTGTCCTTAACATTCACAAGTGTGTTTTAAAGTATTATTTAGTCAATATTTAATAAAATAAAGTTTTGCTCCTAACAGAATTTAAACGGACATATTGTACCACTAGAATTTTTAGATACAGATTTAGCAAATCAGACTGTACTCAAATGAGTTCAAATAATTAATTTTAAATTCATTTATAATAGCAAAGTAGTTAAATGTTTAACTGTATTTATTTAATAGATTGGGGAAGCAGCAAATTTAAAGCCTTCTGAAGTTGAACTGAAACGTTTAGAAGATCTATCTGAAGCCATTGTCCAAGACTTTGCTCGAATGCGAAAAAATGAGGAAGAAATGAGGGACACTAATGGTAAAAAACAATTCTAATATATTCCTTATAAAAATTTTGTTTTTCAGGGAAACATTTTTTCAATATTTTTACAATTTTCTTAAATTTTCAGAGGCAACAAATACTCGAGTATTGTATTTCAGTATATTCTCTATGTGTTGGCTCGTGGTTCTTTCCATTTGGCAACTTCTCTACTTAAGACGTTTCTTCAAAGCGAAGAAACTAATTGAGTAAATAGAAACTGAAGTCAAAGAAACTTGTCAAAATTCTTACAATTTTTACACCTTCCAAAATTTGGTTTATTTCTCTCTTTCAGTCAATAATTAAAAACCAATATCACTAAAATTATTGAAAAATTGATCGATTTAAATTTTGTATACTCAATCAAATTTGAATAAAAAAGAAAGGTTAAGGTTCTAATCAAATATACAAATAATTTACTAAATTTTTCTTTTATATTTCTTCAAACTTGTTAATCTACTTATTTACTGTATTGAAGATTTATAAAAGAAAGATTAAAATGATAAATGTGATTCTTTTTTTTTAATAATGTA